CTTCATTGCCACGAAAACGGCGGAAACCCGACGCAATATCCTCCCACCACGATACCCCGAGCTTGAACAGCAACTATATATTTGGATTAAGCGCGCCAACGATCGACAATTTTTGTCTTCTTTAATCGAATATTTTGGTCTCATTCGATACCTGACAAACTTTATGCGTACACCTGTGTGCAAAAGTCGGTGGATGACTGTAATTGCCAATCAGAGTGGTACTTCGAAGTAGTGCGCATGTAAAGATTTCCGGTGCCTGAAGCCTGGTCAAGTCAACAATCTTCCTGTGTGTTGCCAAGTTCAAGTACACTGGCTGTATTGTGCTGTAGACATTGCTCGTGGAGGTCTACATTCATGGGAAACAATCTCCGAAGTCTTGGTGTACTAGTATTTTCTATCTGACATGTAATGACCAAATTATATCTATGAGCGTATAAATCTTGTTCGCGCACTGTACTGTTGGAGGTTGTTAAGATGTTAAAAGCATTAGACTTTGTCCATGCGGGCGTTAAACGAGTTATCCTTGCCGGCGTATCGAGGGCCTTCCACAGACTCAGCGGCAGCGGCAATTGATGCCACTTCTTCAGATGTCAGCGAGATCTCGACGGCGTGTGCGTTTTCGATAATGCGGGTCGACGACTTGGTCCCAGGAATTGGAAACACATCATGGCCTTGGGCGTGTACCCAGGCGAGGGCCAGCTGAGCGGGAGTGCACTCTTTAGCTGCGGCCAAGTCAAAGAACTTGGCGACTTTCGCCTTGCTTTCCACGAGGTTGTCTCCTGAGTATCGCGGCAGCGTGCGACGCCAGTCGTTGTCTTCCAGCTTGTCGAACGTGTCGATCGCAGTCAAGAAGCCGCGGCACAATGGAGAGTACGCCACAATACCAACGCCCAGTTCCCGTGCGGTGGGGACAACTTGGGCTTCCAAGTCACGGGACTGCAAAGACCATTCCATTTGAATAGCTGTAATCGGGTGGACGGCGTGTGCTCGGCGAAGCTCACTCGGCGTGCACTCCGACAGCCCGATGTACTTGATATTGCCTTCATCGACTAGAGATTTCAAAACACGCATGGTGTCCTCGATCGGGGTTGACGGGTCCATTCGATGCATGTAGTAGAGATCGATGCAGTCCACGCCCAGGCGGTCCAACGAGTCGGCGAGCTGTGACCGAATGATGGCTTCAGAACCGGACACGGTCAAACCATTCGCGGTGGGAAGGATGCCAAACTTGGTGGCAATCACGAACTTTTCGCGGCCGTGTTGCTTGATGGCCTTGGCGACGACTTCTTCATTCGTAAAGTTGCCTCCGCCGCCCGCACCGAACGACTGGTAGATCCACGCTGTGTCGAGAAAGTTAACGCCAAGTTCTAGCGCTTTCGAAATCGTGCGGAGCGACTCAGCTTCTTGTGCCGCGCGGTCAAAGTTGCCGTAGAACGCGGTCATACCCATGCAGCCAAGGCCTTGGGCAGACACGACGAGGCCCTGCGAGCCAAGAGGACGTTGAGGGACGAGAGGCATGACCAAGTCTTGAACCGTCGAGATCGATCGAAAGTAGAGAAATGGCCTGGCCAGGCTCGCATCAGCACGACCCACGATTAGTCTCCTCCAAAGATGGACCAAACAGATTCGACGAAAGGACAAAGGATAAAAACGAACATCATTCCGAGAAATCTTCGGTCAAAATAATCTAGACATTTTCAAAAGAACTCTTTATTTCTATATTCTTTATATATAATTAACAGATAATATTTTTAACATATTTTCAATTTCTTCGACTCTCGAATATCTAAACACGAATGGATTGAAGGATTTTCATTGCTCACCTAACGTGGCCAAGGTACTTGGCTGCAAGAATATCACCACGACAAGCATATTCGAGTGTACCCATCAGGAGAACCGCTCTGACGATGGCACCACGGTCCTCTCTGACGTCAAGTGGTCTGTCGTCCAGCCATTTTGAACGCTAGGTGAAGATTGTTGGCTTTATATGGACTACAATATGAATATTATGGTGCACGACTCTTCACAATGACAACATCGAGTCAAGGACACAAGGCGAGAGGCCTTGACGTGTTTGTTTCTACGGACCGACGCGATATCGAAATAGGGTAGAGAATGCCAACAGTTGAAACGTTCCTTTTGATTTTGATACTCGGATATGTACAACTCGGACAACTAAATTGGACGGCTGGCAGGGTCGATTTAACTGGCCTGGGCAAATATGAACTACGTTTTTCGTGATGTTGACTTTGCGTTTTATTCCGCGCCATCAACTCGCCGACTGAACGTGCAGAGAAATGCTTCCAAGTGTTAAGTGAGATATGCCCGCGGTCTCGTTGCGTGACGCTTACAGTGTCCAAGTTGGATTTATTATGCCCAGTGGTAACCACGGGTCAGGAGGGCCAATTCTGGCGGGCCAAGACGGACTGCTGTAGCCGCCTTGCAGCCCACTGAAGACGATAAGGCACGCAGAGATGTGGATCGTACATGAAGGCGGATACCTCTGACGCATGGCCTCGTCCAAGACAAGCGGCAAACCGAAGCTAATTGTTGCAACGACAACAAGTCCAATGTGCATGCGTGTTCGCGGCCGTTCTCGCAACACCCACCGAGGAGGTAAGTCGAGCGGAATGACATTTCTCAATCAGCCCTCCAAATCGACCACGTCTGTATTGGCCAGGGATGTGTGCATACTTTCCTAGTGCGGTGCACACAGTCCACCGACAAACGTACCCACCTTTTCTTGAGATTGCGTTCAATGGTGTCCTGGCCCTCCGCGCTCTTGCCAACCGTGAGCAAAGGTCGACATGGTCGCTTGAGGTCGATGCTGGCGCGACAAGTCGCACTCGAGGACGTAACTTGATAATGCAGCGCTCGAGGTGGCCGCTGTCACCAGTGCCATTCCACAGCTACCTGCATCGATTTGGCGAGATCGCGCAGCGTATCTCGACGGGACAAGGACTGTTGACCGAAGCTATCGCAACTTTGAGCCCCACCCGAATTGGCGTGGCTGGGTTGGCTGGTTTTGAACCAATGGCATCGTAGTTGAAGTGGCCTTGTTGCTCTTTGCCAATCAAAACGTCATTCGGCGATGGCGGCGGCGACTGCGGTGTTGACGGCGCACGGCCTCGTCCTCCATGTCCTAGCGTATGCTCCTGGCGTGTCGTTCTCGGTGCGGGCATTCCTGGCGTCGTGCCGAGATTTGCCACACTTGGGGTTGGCGCCGACCGAATTGGACATGGCATGCCGGTTGGGATATTTGCCACTCGTGTTGAAACTAAAAGACCGACCATGCACGACCAAGGCCATGGACTGGGCAGCCGCGAATGGGCACTTGCACGTGGTTCAGTACCTCCATGGCCATCGATCCGAGGGGTGCACAGTCGACGCGATCGACCGCGCGGCTCAAAATGGACACCTCGATGTTGTGAGATTTCTCACGACGCAACGACACGAAGGGTATACCGCCAATGCAATGGTGTGGGCAGCAGTCCATGGCCACGTGGACGTGTTGATGGCGCTGCACGACACAAATTCTTCGTGCGAATGGAATCACGATTACGCATTAAACCGTGCCATCGCAAACGGCCACGAACATGTAGGCAATTGGGTACAGTCCGTCTTCGTCCATCCAAGGCCATCACAAAACCCCGAAATGCTGTAGCGTGGCAGGCGCGACGACTAATGAATGGAAATCGACGTGTTGTGAATTCGCGAGTTTATTTGCCCCACTGCATGGCGAAGCGACACAACTAGCTGCTAGCTTGGGCCTACCGACTGCTTCGCCAAGCGCCACAGCAACGATGACTCGCACGTTTCCAAGTCCCAAAAACAGCTCTACAGATTGCATCCCATCAGGTGCCCTAACACTTAGTCAGGAATTTGAGGAGGTACTTTTACGACATGGACTGGAGAAGTACTCGATCCGGCAAATTCCTCTCACTGGACAACAAGTTTGGAGCCATCAACGACGGACTACGTTGAAAAAGTGCAAATGGTACCAGCGCCAACCACCCTGCGTCCCACCTGCACGAGCGAAGTCCACCGTCGCAAGCTTAGTTTGACCACGTGTGGCGATTTTGGCCATCAGTCTTCCGCAACGATGGTTAGCCGCTCCGAAGGCTAGGCCTCGAAGCGTAAAACATCTACAACTAATACATACTCCCCAAGCACACTCCTAGAAGGATATGTGCATTCGAACCACTTTACGTCTGCATATTCAACGCCGATACCTTTCTTGTCGTCCCCAGTGTCCTTTACACACACACCACATTGGATCGGCCCACAACGTTTGTGGACTACACGTGAGAGATGACCCTCTGCGAAAACGAGGTCAATATCAGGACGTCGTCGAGTTGAACCGTGTTGAAGCTTCCCCCTCCAGCGACCTCCTGCGAACGATCAGGCACCTCCACGCGGCAAGGCAAATTGAAAACTGCAGGAGGCGTGCTGGATGAACGCAATGCCATCGCTCGAGCACGATCGCCAATGCAATCCCCCTCAAATGTCGCTCAATTCGACCAAAGATGTACATGTAGTAATTGTTGCCCCTTGAAGAAAGGCCTGTGGCCAGGGCTTGTCCAGATCTTTTTATCCGCCAAACCTTCGAGCGTGTTCATGATCAGCCAAAGGATGTGGAGTAACGCTGCGGCATGAGATGGATTTGGGCGAGCGCTCGGCGACGTTGGTGCTGCCACCCCCACCGACCAGACCAGGTCGCCGTCGCTGATGGGTGGCAACGAGTGATTTGTACTACATCCTTTGGTGCCGGTGAAACGGTGCATAGATGACTCGTACGACATCGGCGTGCCAGAGTGACTTTGCCCGATGAGATCTTCGTCTTCACGGGCGCGTTGGTGAATCGGTGGATGGTGCTATCTAGCGGCCATCGTTGTAACAAACGCAGTGATTCAATTGTGTCATCCGGTCCTCGATGAATTGGGTCACTCATACAGTACAATGACCAAAACAGGAAAGGGGCGCCGGCGCCCCCCCGCCGTGGCTCCTTGGCCGCCGACCAGCCCCCAAAGCTTTGTGGGGCCTCGCCCACTCCATCCAGGGCAGGTTCCGTCATGTTTAGCCGTCAAAGAACTCCCCGCTTTGGAGCCTCCACACGCGACAACATCCATCACCCACTTGTCTTGGATGTTGACCACGTGTCCTTGACATGCACATCCCGATTTTCGTGGTTGAAAACTTATAATATTAGTTACACACTGCAGCGTGTGTGGGATATCCAGGAGATGTCGAGCTAGAGCACAAGCGTCGGCTCGAGCTTGATAAGGTCGCCATGGAACGCCCGCCACTCTCGGACGTGGGGCGTGCACATGTCCATGCTCTTTCGCAGTCGCTTGCACCCGTGGGCAATGCACAGTTTGTCCTTTCGATGCAGTTCGCACAGCCCGCCGCCGCGGTCTGTGCGTACGCAGTCGCCGACGGTGCACGTCCTGCATCCGCCGTGCTTGGCACACTTGTTGCCGCGCTGCGCGCCTTTTGTGCACCCAGGTTCGTCGCACCGCTTGCCACCGCCGTGAGACCGGCAGAACCCGCCGCCTTGGCTGCTGCGGTCGCAGTGGTCAAACTTGCAGCGAGCGCCGCCGCCGTGGGCTTTGCACAGGCCTTGCGACTGTGCTGCGTTGGAGCAGTTGAACACTTTGCAGCACTTGCCGCCCCCGTGTCCAATGCAATAGTTGCCGTTCTGAGCTTCTTTCTGGCAGTCGGCCATCATGCACTGCTTGCCGCCGCCGTGGGATTTGCAAAACCCTTTGGACCGGACGTTGCGACCGCACCCGGCCATCGCGCACAGCTTCCGTCGCGAGTTGTACGAGTCGCAGGTCAAGTCATCGTCGCCGTCCGTGTCGGCGGTGCTATAACTCGATGCACTCACGGATCGTTGAACGGCCAGGGGAAACGCGTACGCCGGCAGACTAGACGACGACATGTGCGTGCGTGTGGGGCAGCGGGGCGGCTGTTGGGGTGCCGCCGCCGCGGGGGGACCTACGAGGGGACGCGTGATTGCGTCTTGATCGTCGAGGAACCAGATGAGTTCCGGGTCTTCCAAGATCGATTCGAGGGCGTGCAGGTCGGACGGGAGCGAGAACGGGATCGGGTCGTTCCATTGCGTGGAGTTGCAGACGACGTGGCACGACGATGGTGGCATTGCTTGTGGTGTGTGTGTGTGGGATTTCACTCGACGAGCAAAATTGAAAAATGTCCAAGTTGGCACCCGAACTACGACGCACGCACCCACTCGCGCGGTGTTACTTCTGCGATATGTGTTTTGGAGCAAATCCAGATCGACGCACCAGCGAGCACGGGTTCCCAGGCCGACAATTCAAGCAACAGATGTCATCTGCGTGTAGAGACTTTCTCGATGAAATATGGCGCAACTTCCATTACGGCTGCCGCGTGGGACTCGGTGCGGAGTGGCACTCAGTGCGAAGCCATCTGGCACGAAGCTGCGGCCAAGGCGACATCGCACTGGTTTGCTCCGTTGCAAGGGGTGTTTCGGTCTGTCGAATGCTGCGTCGGTGAGGTGATCGAGGTGTCTGTGTGCGCCGTACAATGTGTGAAGAGGATGGGAGTGTGCCCTGGACTACGAACCGCGGCTCTCGCTTGCTACATGTATCGTTGAGACTATGCGCGTGGTGAAACATGGTGGGTCCCAAGTCGAGAGGAGTAGCCGGCGTCCCGAATTCACAGCGACACTGAAGCCAGCGTCCCACCCGCGGTAGATACCAACCCGGACACGGTCGAGTTTGTGAGATGGTGGTGCGAGAACTTGTCTGGGCCGTAGGTGGTGGACGGCGGGCGTGGATAACGATCTTCACGGTACGAAGTGATTGCTGTGTCTTCAGGAATGGGATGGGAAGCGCCAACAGTTGAATCGATGATGCTGGTCGACTCCCAAACAGGCAGCGCGTGCCCCGCCATTCGAGTCGGCCAGCGTGTGGACCCGCAGGATCGATGACCTGGAGGGTCTGACATGGAGCCAGCACATGCGGCCATCGTATCTTTCCGTCCTGCGCGGGATTGGCCGTCGTGCTTGGGTTGATGGAGTGTTTCTCCGCATGGAATTCAGACCAAGGCATAAATGTGCGAATAAACTGCATTTTCATGCAATTCTTTGATTGGCTGAGAATTACGAGTGCAGCGAAATCTTCATCCGTACAAAATCGTGTATTCACCCGATTTCCGTTGGGTACGAACTCAACGTAAAGGACACGACATCAAGTGCCAGGTCGTAAATATACATATATATACCCCACACACACGACGTGGAGATTGGTTTGCATGTGTGCGCACGTCCCCCAGTCCGACGGGATGTCGTGCTAGCGCGGCGTCGAACGGATGTACGAATTCGAGCGGCGACACATTTTGAGCGAAATGGCAAAATCGATCGAATATTCGATTGGACGAAGGAATTATTCGTCATTTCATCCGGAACAACGGGGTGTATTTTGTGTGCGAGCATTACAGTGGGCCCGGTCCTTCTTTGACGCATCACGTGGCCACTCTCGGCCGCACCCACATAATTTTACGTCGATGGACAAGTTGGCAGTTCAAGGGCGGGGTCGGCCCTGGCTCAACCAGCTACGCGGCTGCGTGCCATCAATTGCGACGGTCTTGGCAGCCCATCGACCTCCCCACGTTCTCTGGTCTCCTCCCGCAAAGGGGCTTGAGTGGATGTTACTGTCCTGCCGCTGGCCAGTTGGGAACAGCCTTGCAAGAGCCTGATTCCACCGCCCCAAGTTCGGGCGTGCTCGCGCGAAACCCAAATCCGTGCGCAATCAAGGTGTTGCGCCCGGTTCAATCGGGATGTCCGAGGTTCCGACGATCTGGCTTTGAGTTCTTGTTCGAGGCCATCCATTTTGATGGCGACACCGGCGGTGCTCCGTTGGCAATCGAGGATGCGCGCCGATGGTCGAGGTACCCCCGCATGGTCATTCACCAAGAGGGGCCTGTCGTCGTGGCCACTGAAACTTCAACGTTCCTGGTTCAACTTGCGCTGGTCATATTCCACTTTATGGCAAACTGTTGTCAGCGCCAAGCAATCAAAGTAGCTCCGTCATCAGGTGGCTCCAAAGACCACGTTGAAAAGAAAACAGATATTTCTCACTGCGCCAGCAAATTGAGGGGGCGACGAGAACGGCCCAGACGATGGTGATTCTATATGGAGGCCTAGCGTTCGATGAAATCCTACTGACAAGGGTCAGCGATGGCCCCGCGACGATGATGGGAGTCCCCTACACTCGATCCCTCGCGCGTCACAAGAACGACGGTACAAGTTGTCGGGGGCTGAGCAACTCGGCGAGGAGGAAGGCGGCGGCTTTGAACAGAGCAAACGACGGTGTAAGAAAGTCCCCACGAACTCGTTCGCCTTGACACCTCGTCTTTTGAAAGGAATCGAGTCCCACATAGTCCGAGTGCCGAGTATGACACAAGTTGCATATGCCGCACACACACCCCTACCTCTATAGCGCAATGGCGTGAGTGCCGTCGAGTCTGCAAGTAGCTACGTGGTCAACACGTTCTGAACAACTACTATTCTCTCACCACTTGGTCACGGTCCTGCGCTTGCGCAGACCATGCATTCAAGGCAAAAGTCGGCATCGTCGTCCCCCAATTCGTCTGGACGGGCTACAATTGCCTACGACGATAGCAGACCACCACGGATACAGTGGCTGTCCGCAGCGCCGCTGGCTTTGGGTGTGTGTTGAGCGCGTGCTGGTCGGGCGCTGTTTCGTTCGGTCTGTCGCGGTCTAGTCACGCGGTCGCCATTGCCGCCGACTACTGTACCCTCGCGTGATCGTCCCACAGTATCGTACACCCCGCGGCGAGACGCAGTGATTACAGTATTTTGTAGTATCGACGGGGCTGGTGGTACGTGCCGCGTGGATCGCACATTTATCTAGGTGAGAGTTGCCGAGGGGCGACTCTAGCACTCGGCCAGGGCCATGCAATTTTCTCGGAAAGAAGCATTGCGTAAACATCCCGATGAAACCCTGGCCCTATGTCCGCTGAACCTGCGATCGGGCGTCATGCTTATGCTAGAACGTTATGTTGGGGGCACAGGGGGGGGCACGAGTCCAGCCTCCAGTTTGACTGTGTGCGTTTCGAGGGGACCGCGCCGGGCTGTTCTTGACCAACGAGTTGCATATCGACGGCCCGACCTTCGTTGGCTGAACAGTCAGTCCGAGCACATTTCGTTGTGTATGTCGTCGACGCGGCTGGTGCGACATGGGGGATGGCACCCCCGTGCACCCATGTTAACGATACCAGTGGATGACACTTCTCGCTGGGTCTATCTGAAAACACGCGGCTCGTTTCGCCATGGACTGCCGAAATTTCTTGAGACAACCCGCAGAAAATCGCCCTGCAATGCAGCGTCGACATGCGCGAGTTCAGGGGCACGCATATCTTTGCCGATATGGTGTAGATATTTCGTTGTGTGTGGGGGGGCAAGGGGCGGCGAAAGGGCGGGGGGCAACGAAGCTCGGAAAACACACAAACGTTGAGGGAGGTCGTGAGAGCGGCGATTCCGTCCACTGTGACTTGGGGTGCCTTTTTGGCCGCCTTGTAACCCACGTCCAATGAAGTGTGAATCCACCACGATGACGGCGGGTGCACTCTGAAAAATCCTTGTGAGTCAGCCACGACCATCCATCCATCAACCAAACAAGTGGATGAAATGACTTAACCACCGCAGATCGACATGCTGGGAATACGCTGAGCGCATTCTCGTGGCTTATGCACCCATCCACCCACTTCGACTCGAGGACGTCGGACAACCCACCAGCGACACGAGACATCCAAGCAAAGCCACCTATGCTTATTCCTATGATGTAGATAGAAGCACGCTCTGAAGAGACAGCTCATCGCACCCAGCGCGTCGACAGGTGATGCTGGACTGGATGTCTATACACGTGAGGCGACAGCTCAACACTACATTCAAGCTCGGACGATGCCCTGATTTCCCCATGTCGGTAAACACGCCCCAAACGTTAGAGATTTCCAACGGCAGGGGGTTCGAGGGGGGATGTGTGCGGAATTCATGCGCGATGGGGGCGTCGCGAATCGAATGGCCGCTCCTGCATTGTGCCTCCCATTCATCATCGGAGATGATCGAGTCAGCTTTACCGACTTTGTCCAGCACATAGCTTGTCTTGACGCTTCGTCACTCGACGCAGGACAGCCAGTTTCACGGACTCGAGACACCCCGATGATGCACCGCCGCGAATGTCTACAACGCGGCGCGAGTGGCGTCACTCGCTTGGGGTTACATCAGGTCGTTCTGTAGCCATTCGTAAACGACAGTGGGCAACCCGCCCTGCCTGCCTATTCATTGCTAAACTCGTTGCGTTGTACACAACGTTGGAGTCGAAGTTGGATGAATATTCATCCATTTTCCACGAGCGTTTGCTTCATCGATACGTTGTGCAGACGGCTATACACCGTCTTACACGGAATCCTGTACTGTGCGGAGTTGCTAGGCGACATCGTGGCAGGTCGCCCAAACTGCCTTCCACTGAATTGTTCAAAGATAGAGAGCCTTCTATCGAGGCACTACATACCCGTTCGGCCATATGAAGAAGACCCACCCTTCAAATATCTACTGCATGCCAATGCAATTGCATCGGGTTCGGCGGTGGCGCGTGGACATGGTACATGTAGTCGGCATGTGAGTGCAGCGTGTATGTAGATTGCCGCTCATGCTGACTTCGTGCGTAGTCATGGACGAGGGGTTGGGACTCTCACAAACTCATCAGTACGTCTCCAAGCACAATGGCATACTCAGCGAGGAACCGCCGTGGCAAGGCGCCCGTCGACGTATCACATATTTGCAAAGGTAGACAGGAGTCATGTGTGCAGTGCCGAGTCACCTTTACCGGCAATGACGATCAGCGCGATGGTGAGTGAGATTGGCGTATGCCACTTGGTGCTGATGGATCTGGAAGTCAGTGTAAACAGGGTAATCAATGCCCTTGCGTTCGTGCGTGGCTACGTGTCGCACCGGCGCCGCGTTTGTTTGACAGGATGCGAGAAAACGTGGCAGTGTGGCGTCGTTTAACTCGTTGCCGCGGAGTCTAGCTGCACCGAAGGAGCGGCATTCGATGAGCAGGGGTGGAGTTATCTCTTGGTGACGCCTCGGGGTGTTTGGAGCCAGCCCGAGCAAGCTCGGCCAACGGCGCATCCTTGGTGTGGCAAGCCGGCGCTGCTGTGTCTCTAGCACGATAGCCATGCCTGGCCGGTCTTGCCAACCTTGAGGCACAGCCAGCCAGTGCCACCACTGGTCGGATTGTCGAGCATGCGCATCTTGAGCTTCCGACGCTTTTGATTGGCTCGTGGGCCAAAATTGTCCGATTTGATTGGTTCGTTCAGGTTACGTTCATGTTCAATCAGCAAGAAAGCTCTCATTGGGATGGCCACCATCGCATCCGCCGCCGACGCCGCCGCAGTGACGGCGTACGTCGCGATCGGCACCAACCTGGGTAAGTCACCTGGTTCGATCTACTTGTCTCACATGCCACCACGTCGTGGGTGCTCCGTCCTTGTATCTCATCACGCGGCTGCTACATCAGGCAACCGCCCCGGCAACCTCCATCGCGCTGTGCAAGAACTCAACCAACATGCTGGTCGCGTGGTCCGGACGTCGCTGCTGTACACGACATCGCCCCAGTACGTGACGGACCAGCCTCAGTTTCTCAATGCTGTGCTTGAATTGTCGACGACCCTCAGCGCGACCGACCTCCTCGTTGTACGACGTTGTCCCTTGACCAGAGACCAACCATACACGATTGACCCATGATGTGCAGTGCTTCAAGGACATTGAAGTCCGCGTGGGTCGAGTCCTTGGAACGCTTCGGTACGGCCCACGCATCCTCGACGTCGACGTTCTCTTCTACGGCAAGCACATCATCGCCACGACGACGTCGGTCGGGCCGCTCATTGTGCCGCACGCATTGCTCCACGAACGAGACTTTGTGCTGCGGCCATTGCTCGACATTGCCGCAGGTTTCGACCATCCTTGATGCTAAATCGTTCGATCCGACGGCAGCCTCTAGACTTTGTCCACCCCACTTTACACATGACCATCCAAGACTTGCATGCAGCCCTGCCACCATCGGCAAACCCGCCGCTTCCCGTGCTCAGCCTGGGCGTGAACGATCTCATGTGGCCCCTTCACACCAAGGTATCGTCGTCGGCATGTCGTCGTGCCAGTCGTGACCTGTTCGGTAGACGTACGTCATGGGGATCGTAAACACAACTCCAAACAGCTTCAGCGGCGATGGCACAGGCGTCGATGTGGGTGCAGCTCTAGCGACGGCCATGACCATGGTAGACCAAGGCGCGGATATTCTCGATGTCGGCGGGGAATCGACCAAGCCCAACGCACCCGCGGTGTCGGTGGATGAAGAAATTGCGAGGGTGCAGATGCCGACAAAGACTATTAGGGCATGCTTCTGACCGAGATGGTTCGTGGCAGGTGGTCCCTGTCATCCAGGCCATCCGACACGCCCTCCCGCCCGTGCCCATTTCGATTGATACGACCAAGGGCCGCGTCGCAGCCGCGGCAATCGAGGTATGTCTCTACTTCTTGATGGACTAACGAAGACGCACTTGTGGCCGTGTCATGCGGGTAGGCCAGGGCGAACCTCGTCAACGACGTGTCCGGCGCAACCGCTGATCCGACGATGCTAGCCACGGTCGCCGCAGCACAAGTTCCGGTGGGTGGATGCTCTGACCCATGACATCGTAAATTGGTATTGCAACATCGTGCGCTGGGCAGGACATTTCGCGTTGCTACGGCTAGCGAGTTGGCTCGCAGCGCCGCAAATCCGTCTCTCTTGTGACACGTCTGTGTGCTGTCTCGAGGTCAAGTGTGTAATAACGTGCCTCGCGACTGTGGTTAGATTGTGCTGATGCATACTCGAGGAACGCCGGCGACCATGGCGTTGCAAAAGGTAGCGCACCCGTGCCATCCACTGCAGTTGCGCGACTCGAGTGGCTTGTTGGCTATAGCGCTATGAAGATGTGGTTGGGGACGTGGTGAAAGAGCTCCGGCCCAAGCTCGACGCCGCCATGGCTGCGGGAATTCCGACTTGGAACATCATAGCCGACCCGGGCATTGGGTTCGCCAAAGGGCTTGCCGAGAATGTCAAGCTGCTTCGCCATATCGATCAGCTCAAGGTGGCGTGCGCTCCGTGCCCGCTGCTGGTAAGACAAGCTACCATGTCCCTCATTTTTTGATGCGTGTTCGTATTGTGTGCAGGTTGGCGCGTCGCGGAAAGCATTTCTCGGCACGTTGTGCGGACGGCCAATCCCGGCCGACAGAGGAAGCGCCACGGCCGCGACGTGTGCGGCGGCGATCGTTGGTGGCGCCGACATCGTCCGCGTGCATGACGTGGCTGTATGTGTCGATACGTGCAAAGTGTCGGACGCGATTTGGCGGCCGTAAGAGTCGTTGAATCAACGTGCGCAATGCGAGCGTTTCGATGGACGACGTCCATTAGTTGCGCCGAAGAGTTTCGCCCGCAGCATGCCATCCAGTTCGTGAACGAACGATGGATGAGCGTTGGGGAAATGCTGGAGCTCGCGTGTTCAGTGCCTTGTACGCGCTGCTTTGATGCAATTCAATCCGCGAATTGATGCCTTCGTTTGGCGTGATCGAGGCCATCCTCCGCGATCAGCGACGCGTGCGCTCGGCAGCAGGTTGACGTTTAGGACGTGTCCCTGCTATCTTACTGAGTCGCGACGTGCGGAAGCCACCCGCTGCACCAAACTCGCGTTAGAAAGGCATGGGTATCAGAATGGCAAGGCAGGAGGCTGGCACCGCGTTGGGGAAACCACCGAGTGCAGCCAGCAAGGCGAGAAATGTAGCTGGTCTTTCCGGTGCATGGAGCGTCATTGGGGCTGCTGCACACTGCCGTTGACACAAACGCTCTCAGGCAACACGCACGGTGTCAATCCAGATTGAAAAGGCGGGACTATTTTTGCCACTAGCAACGGTTCATGCGTTGGCTTCGTATAAATATCGCCTCGATTACGCCGTCACAACGCACAGGCAGGATGGAGTCGGACGGGGAGGTCGATGGTCGCGTCTCGACGCCCCAGCGCAGCTCGGGCGTGCCGCAGACGGCCGGGGACGACGGCGCGGCGGTCACGCCAAGCTTTGCCATGATGTTTTCCATCTACGACACTGGGCGCGGCTCCATCGCGACCGAGCACTTGAGCGCTCTCTTTCAAAAGATGGGGTACACGGTGGCCCGCGACCAGCTCGAGAAATTTCTCGACGAACTCGACCCCGACGCCACAGGCGACATCTCGAAAGTACAACGATCTTGCTCGTCGCGGTGGCACATAGTGATCGATGCCGTAGGTCACGTTCCTCAAGTGGTTTGAAAAGTGGGGCGATGCGCTGGACGACCCCGAAGAAGTTGCGGCCCATGTTGCTGACAACACGTCTCCATTTCGCGACAATGACGGGAATGACGAGTGCAGCACGTTCATGGCGGACGCTACGTCCATCCAAAGCGCCATGCTCGAGGCAAAGATGCAGCGAAAACGGGCCGAAGAGGACGTCCAGCTGCTGGCGAACCGTCTTGCGCATCTCCGGTACTATCGCTCGAACGATTGGAATTTTTCCAGTGTGCATTGTCTCGTGTACTTGTGTAACGAGGTCTCGGTGGCTCGTAGGACGGAAGAGAAGAAAGCGCAGAAAAAGATCGACGAAGCAAACAAGCGCGCCGAGGACATTGAAGCTATCAAGAGACGAAATGCCGAACACCAGCGCCTCAAGCGCGAACATCTCGAGCGCACGACCGCCAGTGTTCGCCACACCCTCGTGACGAATTGTACGACGTAGCACCGATGCGCGTGGGGGGTTGACGAAGTTGTGGTTTTAGCGAAAGCCAGCATCGAGTCGTGTAAGAAGAAGGAGCAGGCAATCACAGCTATGGTCAAGCAGCGTGCCAAAGTCGTGCAGGACACCAAGCTCGACGCCAAGATCCTTGCCGAAGAAAAGGCACGGCAACTTGAGATCGAGCGAAAACGCCTTGCACTCAAGACGCAGGCGATCAAAGAGAAGGAAAAGGAAGCAGCTCGAGTACGGGAAGAAGCGCGAAAGCGGCGGGAGAAGGCACTGGAGAAAGCGGCGCGGACAAAGGTAGCAGACGAGTACAAGAAGAAGGTAAGCTGCATGCACTGGTCGTATCAAGAGGGCGTCGTCAGAGTCTGTCCATAGAGTGTCGCGGAAAAGATGCTGCGGGACATGGAAGCAGAGGAAGCGCGTCTCATTGAGAAACTTCGTAACACGCAGGAACACCAGCGCCAAGCATACATGCATCTCGAGAGCGCGATTCAAATGCAAGTCGCAGACGACTGACGACGGAACAGATGGGAAAACTAATTTTTATTCAAACTTCAATATTTTCTCGAGTAAAATGCAAAAATCGTAGTATCATTTTGCATGTCCAATATCAAATTTCAGGTGTCAGTCCCCCTATCAGTGAATTTCCTATGAATGGATATAGGAATGCAGTATGAGCACGTATCAAAATTTGAAGGTTATTCGGCCTGCAAGGAATTGTCAGAATGGTGCTAACGTCGGCTCTCAGTGA